CCTGCAGCATCACTAATTAATCCACAGAACTAGAATTTTAAAGAAGTTGCAAGGACTAGTCAACTATTTCTATGCTTACAGCATCATTTAACTCAAGTTACATCTTTCTGTTTCCACACAGTTGAGTAAGAGTGCAGTGACAGTGAGTCTTAAAAGGCAAGCATTTGCAACAGTTCATGTAAAAGGAAAACATTTTTTTTCTTTTTTTTTCTCTTACCTATCAGACCTTTCTCAAGGGTAAACGTTTTGTTCGTGAACATGCATTCAAATGCCACGATATGGAAAACTTTGTTCACTGTGTTGTGGGTCCCGACAATTCGAATATACCTATAGAGGGAATAAAAAAAAAAAAAAAGCTAAGTAGCACAAGTAAGCATGACAAACTCCTATGCACTAAAATATAAATGATTCAATTGGAGTATATTGTGCAGACCCATACAAACTGAGTAGCTGCTAAAAAATCCCAAACTTAAAATAAGAAAAGAGATAAAAAGAGTACAAATTTCACAGCAAACTTGGATATACTTGGGATGCTGGCTCCAGTACAGTTTAAGAAAAAAAAAAAAAAAAAAATTAGAAGAGCTGTAAAATCTAGTCAAAAATCCTTCTGAACTAATTTGCCAAGAAAAGCAAAATGAAAGACCCTCTGGTTTAGAATTGGTCTTTTAGTGCAAATGTGTGCTCATGGAGACTTTAAATAATCATAATAACAATTAAAAAAATCCCTTTACCAACTGCTTTTTACCACAATGAAAGACTTCATACAGCCAGGACAAACCCAACAAACCAGTGAGGCTTCTCTGAGGCCAAAAATTAATTCCATTTAAATATGACTGTTTCTAATTCTAACACTGGATGTACAGGATATCAACGTCTTTGTTGGTGTATCTTTTATTAATAAAACAAAAAAAAATTTGAACACTCAAATGTTATGAAACATAGCTAGCTCTGGGTTTCATTCCTGAACTTATACTTCTAGACTCTAATTGAAAATCAAATAGAGCTGCTCTTGAACACTGTGACCTATTCACCTTCTGTATTACCCTGTAGGCTTCACTTTCTATAAACAGCCATTAACCTTGATTCAGTCCGATTCCCACATTTTCTGAAAAGATCCAACAGTTCTTACTATAAATTTTGAAAAATCCTAAACAGAATACTGCACACCATCTCAATAAACGTTGAACAAGCAACACAGAAAACTACCTAAAACAAAGATCATTACCCCACAAGATGGGTTATCCACACTGCAGAAATCTCTGTATTAAACGAACTGATTTCAATTAAGAAGTATCACAACGTATGACTCTTAGGTGACATCCTTGGTCTATGGTATAAAACCACTTTTCTCTTACGTAGTATAAGTATAGTTCCAACATAATGGCCCTTTACCATTTTGGCTTTTGTTCTTCTTCATACCAAGTTTAAAAGATACACAGCTTTGATTCCAGAGATTTTTCTTTTTTAAACAATAAAAACCCTCATAGCTATTTACTGTACTAATGTTCAACCTCCTCTTACACTTCAAGACTTGAGAGCTCTTATAAGCAGGGCTCAGTGACTGTTATACCAATATTTGTTTTTACCATATGTAGAAAAAAATCTTCCAGAAAATTAATTTTAAAAAATCCACCTACTACATGCAAATGACTGCAACAGACAGCTAAGTTACCTGAATATCATGACATCGCTAAAATTGCCAGTTTTTGACCTCTGCTCCTATTAGCTTATATAATAGTTCCATTCTAAAAATGAAATTATATAATTTGATTAAAATTACAACACTGATATACATTATGCTTAAAATTTCACTTAAAATTTTTTTAATTATTGTGACTTGAAGCAAAAAAGAATGATATGCCATTCCCTAAGTAATATTAACTTGCAGATTGATTAATTATTACAGTAGCAAATTTCTTGCAAGTCATTCTCTGTAGAATAAGTAAAAGTTGCAAGCCTGGAGAAAATATTTATTTTTTATAAAGAAGGTGAACCTGTATTTTAAGAGTAAAGCAGAACTTAGCCCTCGCTATGTAATTGTGACAAGGGCCTTCAAAGAGCATCGCAGGAATCTTGGTTGACAGGGAAACAGCAGTTCTTTCCCCAGCCTCGCCCATGTGAACCAGTCAGCTGCTGCAAGGTGACAGATGAGATGCTGTATTTTGGGATTCACATTATGAAGGCAAAACTGTATCAGCCTCAGTTCTTAACATGCTGAGGATAATTTGCAGTGCTTTTGCACATGACACACAGTCAGCTACAGCCATAGCAAAAGCACAGTAGACACACAGGAGCAAGACCCAAAAGTTTCTATTCACAAAGCTGACCTTCTGCAAAACTGATGCTGAAGATCCACTGAAAAGATTATAATCAAATTATTCAGGGGACTAACAGTTTGCTGTTCAGAGAAAGTTAACCTGAAATTTGAAAGAATCTTTCAGTTTTAGGAGGTCTGGTAGACAACTTCATCTAAGGATATGTATCCCCCTTAAAGTTAACAGGGACAGACATATTTGATCCAGTGTTTTCAGATTATTTTCTTTTTGTCAATTCACGAGCACAATATGAACCCTAAATACACAGGCAATGACCAGGACTCGACCACAGTAAATGTTCTTGTTCTATCCAGCATTGGAAGCGCAGATTTCAACTAAACACAGGAACAACCTTGGAACATTTATCAGTGCACGCAGAGGCTGGCTCACCAAAGAGACCCCTTTGTCTCTCTTGGGCAAAAAAAGGTATTGTGTTGTGGTGCTTGGACAAAACGCGCTCTAGGCTAATCACTTGAGCGTTGCTAATGGCAATACTTTGACATACTTCAGTTACGCTTCCTTGCTTTAAAGAGTTTAGAGAACAAAGTAACAATATTAATAGGAACACAAGAAACTGTTTCATAATTAGCTTTAAAAGCTGATTTATTTCAATTTTTTTGTGTTTTGAAATTGTAACACTAGAACAAGCTTCTTGGTTTTGGGTTTTCTGTTTGGGTTTTTCCGGTTGTTTTTGTTGCTGTTCTTTGGTTGGGGTATTTTTAATAGATCAAGAGGGTGAGAGACACACAAGACTTGAATAGTTTGCCATGGGAAAAGCATCATACTGCACACTTAGGTTAAATAACAGATCACTCACTGGTTAGCAAAGTTCCCTGCCAACAGGTAGAAAGCAACAAAGCTTATTCTTGTATGCTAAATAGCCTATCAGTTATTTTGAACAATAGGTGACAATGTTCCACATTGCTGGAAAGCTGCAGTTTTGTGGTAATACAAACCAAAATCCCATCCATTAGAAGGTTAATGTATACATGATTATTTTAAAGTATATTATTTCGATCTTGTAATGTTAGTGCAAGGTAGAAAGTAATGATAGGAGAAACCCCATCCTTTCTCCCCAATACATGTATTTTACTCCTTCCGTATCTCTCTCAAGGTGAATGATCAGCTGATTTCCTGCCTGAATCCTGCATTCTTCTACATGGTGGAAATTGAAATAATGCAATCTTCGAAATTACTTTGAACACCTTAACTTCTAAACTCACATTCTCATATTTTGCATAAAAATTGTCACTTATTATTCCACTTCATGTAAGATACTAAAGCCGCCATAGCCTGAGACAGTAAAAATAATCTTCCTTCAAATAGGCAGAAATTATTAGAAAAGCTCAGTACCACTAGGTAAACAAGCTGTATCTGAATTTCAAATATCACCAGTGAAGAGCAATATTGAAGGTACATGACCTGTTTCAGAAGAGTCAGATGAAGACATTGTAAATACTGAAGTAGTACATCTTAATGAGAAGAACACTAAACAACTGAAAAAAAAAGGCTGAAAGGAAAGGGTGAAAAGAAAGAGTTCAGTCAGGAATATGATAGTGAGAGAAACCTACAATGTGGACAACTTCAATATGAGCAACGAAGCCTTAATATGAACAATTTTTCAGCACATGCAATTTTGACAAATGCTTAAAATACATGCATCATGTTTATGTGATCACTTACTAAGTTTTTAAAACATACTGTAGTGGTTTTGGCTGGGACAGTTAAATGTCTTCATAGTAGCTGGTATGGGGCTATGTTTTGGATCTGTGCTGAAAACAGTGTTGGTAATACTTGTTATGAAATGACTACAAGATATCATCATGAGATCAAAGGATACTTAAGACTGCAGGGGTGAACAATTTCAGTAACCCTGTATCTTTCAAAGTCCAACTTCGGAAGCTTAACTGCCTTCACATTGCTTTCCATTTACATATTTATACAAAAAATACATCCCGTAAGAAAACAAATGAATCTTTGTTAGCGTAGTATTTTCTTTCCTGCAAAAAGGAGCAAGAAACAAGCAGTTGTGGGACTGGATGTGCTGGAATAACTTCTCCACTCTCTGTACCCTCTGTATGCTACAAATAACAAATCAACCCATATGGAAATAAAATAAAACCTTTAACTACAGGATAAAACATTTGATTTTATCTTGATTCTTTTAGATATTTATGAATAAGGTCAAACCTTGCATAGCTTTGCAGCTCCTTTTCACCTGTTCAAGTAGGGAGAACAAATATGTTCACCTCTAAGATGAATGGTATTCTCCCACCTCCAATACTACATATGTTTGCAGTTACTGTAGTCCTCTGAATTAGAAAAAACAGAGGAGACAAGCTAAAGAACATATTTTTAACAGATGACATTTCCTGAAATACAATAGAGGTATCTTTTATGCTGATTAAATCGACATAAATACATATACTAATTATTTTCCATAGCCACACAGTCATTTTTCTACAAGTGCTTGTCAAGCATGTCATTAATTAAAAAGGGTCACTGACCAGACTTATTTGTGTATGCTGAATTACAAGGTAATTTCAAAGCTTTGATTACCACAAGGTGGAAGGGGGAAAAAAACAGCAGAAAGCCCAAATCCTAAATGAACAAAAAACTTTGGAGTGCTTTGTTAGTGGGTGACACAAACTTGGGCAAACCTGATTAAGCTGAGACAGAGGAATGATGAAGAATTAACTGTATAATGAAAATGCTGGTGCCAAGCTATGCATTTTAATTATATTGCTCACTGAGGAAGAGAGAGAGCAGGCAAAAATGTGGAGGACGGACATTAAAAACAATACAAGCAGTTTTTCCAGTGAAATTAGAAATTGTTCACTTTCCTGTCCGGAACAAAGCAGCTTTATACAATACAAAGTTATCTATAATTCTTTGTGTGATAGGAGAGTAAAAGAACGACAGTTCAAGGGCTAGACTAGATCCTCTGTCAACGGACTCTAGCCTCAACTGGTAGACTGGGGGAAGACAAAAAGAACCCTGAATCATTCTTTA